CTGCCGCCAGCCAGGACGGGCCACCATTTCGGCCGCACCTTCCGCCTCCACAACGACGCTGCCCAAGGGGCGCTGATAGGGGCGAGGGGCTGCGGGAACGCCTGCTTGCCCGTCTCCAAAAAGGGAAGGGGCCGACGCGCTGCTGCGAACGACCGCCTGTTCAGCCTGTAGCTCTCCCAGAGGACTGCTGTAGCTGAAGGCTGCACGTTCCGATGTGATCTCCTGACTCTATATTCTGCGAGGAAGGTCTCCGAACGCGGGCGCGCCCCCTGCAGCGCCCCCAACTGTCGCCGGAAGGCAGTTGCCAGGAGTGGGCGCGCTATCGGGCGCATCCTCGGCCTCCACCAAGGCCCTGCCCACGAGACGCAGATAGGAGTGAGGAGTTGTAGGAGCGCTGGTTTGCCTATCTCCAGGAAGCGGGGGGGGGGGGGGGGGGGCGACGCGCTGATGGGTTCCTCCACGAACCTGCCCCAGGGGCGCCGATGGGAGTGAGGAGTGCTATGGGGGTCCGCCTGCGGGTCTCCAGGAGGGGGAGGGGCCGACGCGCCGTGGCAAGCGACCGCCCGATCAGTCTCGAGCTCTCCCAAAGGACTCTTGCAAATGAGAGCCGCACTATCGGAAACAAATTCCCGACTGTCAGAATTGCGAGGAACGTCTCCGAGCGCGGGCGCGCCATCCGCAGCGCGGCCAACTGTCGCCGCGACGCTGTCTCCAGGAGGGGGCGCGTTCCTTTTGCAGCTGGAGGCCGGACTTTCCTAAACATCTTCTTAACTGTCAGAATTGAAAGAAAAGTCTCCGAGCGCGGGCGCGCCTTCTGCAGCGCTGCCAACTATTGCCGCGAAGCTGTGTCCAGGAGGGGGCGCGCTCCTTTTGCAGCTGAAGGCCGCACTTTCGGATGCATCTTCCTGACTGTCAGAATTGCGAGGAACGTCTGCGAGCGCGGGGGCGCCCTCTGCAGCACTGCTAACTATCGCCGCGATGCTGTCTCCAGGAGGGGGCGCGTTCCTTCTGCAGCTGAAGGCCGCACCTTCGCATGCGTCTCCCTGACTGTCAGAATTGCGAGGAACGTCTCCGAGCGCGGGGGCGCCCTCTGCAGCGCTGCTAACTATCGCCGCGATGCTGTCTCCAGGAGGGGGCGCGTTCCTGCTGCAGCTGAAGGCCGCACTTTCGGACGCATCGCCATGACTGTCAGAATTGTGAGGAACGCTCTGGGGGGGGGGGGGGCCTCTCGCAGTCGAAGGCTGCAGTTCCTTCGACAGCTAGGGAAGCAACGCCAGGATCGCCTCTTCCAGGGGGGTCGGGCGGATCCCAAGCAGGGCGCCGTTATCCGCCGCCCCCAAAACTGGTGTTCCCGGGTGGAGGTTGACTCGATTGGCGCCGTGCGCGCCGCGAGGGCCAGGGACCCTATCGGTGGAGTCAGTGGCATCCGGCTGACTCCAGGCACTGAGATCAGGATTGGGGCCAGTGCCCCCTGTGATCCCGACGCCCGTGGCGTCGGGGCCGTCGCGCACAGCCCCTCCAGGAGTGAGAGCCACTGGGGGGCCCTGAGTGTGAAAGGGAAGGGTGGGGGAGATAGAGTCAAAGGTGGGGAGCAGAGGGAAAGCGCTGTCTTGGCTGCCAGGATTACCAGGATTGCGACTGAAGGTCGCCTCTTCTCTTGCATCTGCCAGGCTTCTGCTGTGGACCCCATCGTCTCCTCGACTGAAGGCCGAATTGTCATTCATCCTTTCACCATGAGCTGCGGGATCGATCGCATCTCCTGTCTCCACAACGACACTGCCCCAGGGGTGCTGCTAGGAGTGAGGAACACTATTGGGGTCCGCCTGCCTGCCTCCAGGAGAAGGAGGAACCGGCGCTCTGCGGCTGGCGACACTCTGCGCGGCCGCACTGCCGCAGGGCTGGCCGTGGGGCTGGCCGTGGGGCTGGCAGTCAGGCTGGCCGGGGGGCGGGCCGTCGGGCTGGCCGTCAGGCGGGCCGTGGAGCGGGCAGCCAGGCAGGCCGTGGGGCTGACCGTCAGGCTGGCTGTGCGGCTGGCAGTCGGGCGGGCTGCGGGGCTGGCAGTCGGGCTGGCCGCGGGCCCGGCCGTCGGGCTCGCCGGACGGGCCGCGGGGCCGGCTGTGCGGCTGGCAGTCGGGCTGGCCGTAGGGCTGGCAGTCGGGCTGGCCGCCGGGCTGGCCATGTGGCTGGCAGTCGGGTTGGCCGTGGGGCTGTCCGTAGGGCTGGCAGCCGGGCTGGCCGTGGGGCTGGCGGCAGGGCAGGCCGCGGGGCAGGCCGTAGGGGAGGGAGGGAGCTGGGCGCCGTGGCAGCGCAGGCCGCGAGCTTGGCCGCCCGCGCCAGCGACGCCGCGGCCGGCCAGAGGCCGGCCGCAGCCGCGGCGGCGGCGGCGGCGACGGCCGCGGCGCAGGCAGCCAGCGGCCGCCGCGACGCCCACGGCGCCGCCGCGCCAGGGCCCCCGACCGACGCCGGCGGGAGGCCAGGCGGCGGCAGCAGCAGCAGCAGCACGGGCAGCCGCGGCACGGGCGACCGAGCCGCCGCCGGCCGCCGCCAGCCGCCCGCGCGCCGGCCTCCAGGGGGAAGGCTGGCGGCGGCGGCAGGGCGCGCCGCTGGCCGCCGCCGCCGCCGCCGGCCGCCGCCGCCTCCCGCGCGCCGGCCTCCAGGGGGGAGGCGGCGGCGGCGGCCGCAGCAGCCGCGGCAGCGGCAAGCGGGGGGCCCGGGCGGGGCGACCCGTCGCGGGCGGCGGCGGCAAGGCGCTGCCGCCGCCGCACGGCGGCGCTGGAGGGGCGCGAAGCCATCGCGGCGGGGCCGGCCCGGCGCAAACCTGTACCAGGGGCGGGTTCGAGCCGAGACGGCTTGAGCCAAAATGGTTACGGAGGGGCTGGTGTTGATGAACGAAGCGTCACAATTCTCGAGTTTCCCGTTGCATTCTAAGCGAACCTGGCACGACCCAACTAGGAGAAGGCTTCCTGGTATTGGGCGCATAACTTAGCACTGCTCTGCGTTCCTTGGCTTTGCTAGGCGTTGCTTGACAGTGCTTGGCGCTCCCTGGCATTGCGAAGCATTGCGTTCTATCGCTCGGCAGTGCTTTGCATGGCCTGGCGTTGCTTGGCGCTGCTCGGCATTGCTTGGCATTGCGTTCCATGTTTCAGTACTCTTTTGTACGCCCTGGCGTTATTTGGCATTGCTTGACATTGCGTGGCATTCTGGCGCGAGGCCCAAGACCGAAGAGCCAAGCAAGGAACCGAGACCGAAGAACCAAGGAACCAAGACCAAGGAGCCAAGGAACCGAGACAAAGGAACCAAGGCACCGAGACCAAGAAACCAAGGAACAACGACCAAGGAACCAGGAACAAGGAACCACACCACCAAGAGTCAACAACCAAAGTGAAGGAGACAATGAACCCAGGGAACGCAACAAAGAACTGAAACAAAACTTGTTTTTATCAGTGCAACGCGGAGAAAACATATATGAGACCAACATTGCCCTGACGAGAGCCGGCCGGCGCATGCCCGCGGCCCACCAGTTCTTCCCATAGAATCATGAAGCTCTTAGGCAAGCCCTGATTTTTTGAACTCATTTTGTAATAGATATCTGTGCGCGCCCTTCGGGGACACCAAGAGCCGGGAATGTTTACAGCACAACTTCAATCATACAATGCGTTTTGATCGAGACAGTGCACAAGTCTCGCGCAGCCATGGCCGCAGGCCTAGGGCATCCAAACTCGAGCCTCACCTTACCAATTTCCACTTGGCTTTCGACCGCGATGCGCGAGCATCGCGCTGAATCGCAATTTATGTTGCTGTTATTTTCATGCATATGAGCCAGCATCTACCTTCCGTTGGCTGCTATCGGCCCAACGCGGGGCGCGGAAGGAGAGATCGGGAAGGAGGGATGCGTCATGAGGAGGGGGGAGGAGTGAAGGGGGGGGGGGACGGACGGACGGACGGACCACCTGTGCGAGAGGGAAATCCTACTCAGATGAGCGCGGCTTATGCTCAGCATAAGCTTTCGAACAGCGTTGTGGCACACTCCGCGCGCGCCAGCGAGGCTACGGCACGAAGCCCCTACAATCTGCGAGCGGGCCTCCTGGGACGGGGCCCAGAACGAGACTGGCCCGGAGATCAGGGACTGTGAAGGGGGGGGGAGGGGAAGGAGGCGAGAGGGAAGGGGGACGGGAGGGAGAGATGGAGGATGGCGAGAAGAGGGGGGAGGCAGGCAGGTCCAATGCGGATACCAGCTGTTGGCCTGGACCCCAAACTGGGCGCCGTCGGCGGACAAAGGCTGACCGGTCACATGTCCCAAGAGAACTCCAATCCTCCTCCTCGTCCTCCTCCTTTTCCTCCTCCTCCTCCTCCTGCCCCCCTCCTTCCAGACCTCTCGACCCCGTCTTCGAAGCCCGCCGATCAACTCCTCCAGCTGCGGTCCAGCTCCGCTGGCAAAGAAATGCTGACTGCATCAAGAATCCGTGAGCATTCACCTCCTCAGCTCATCCATCCAAAAACTATCATCAGAAGTCGAAGGGATCGCCTCCCGAAGTTCGGCCCCTCCCTCCTCAAAACCACCGCCCTCATCACCCCTCCCTGCTATGCCCTCGTTCTTCCCCTCTTCCTCCTCCTCCTCCTCCTCCTCCTTCCTCCTCCTCCTGCTCCTCCTCCTGCTCCTGCTCCTCCTCCTCCTCCTCCCACTCCTCTCCTCCCCTCCTCTTCCTCTCCTCCTCCTCCTCCTCCTCTCCTCCTCCTCTGGTGCTCCTCGTCCGTGTATTCGCCCTCAACCCTTCTTCTTCTTCTTCCTCCTCCTCCTCCTCCTCCTCCTCCTCCTCCTCCTCCTCCCCATCGCCCTCCTCCTCCTCCTCCTCCTCCTCCTCCTCCATCTTGCCTCCCTGCCTCCCTGCCTGCCTGTCTCCTCCCTCCATCCCTACCTCCCTCCCTCCCTCCCTCCTACCCTCCCTGCCTCCCTCCTTCTCCTCTTCTCCTCCCCTCTCCCACTCAATCGAAAAGATCGCCTCCAGAACATTCTCCAAGTTGTCCGCAGGAGCGCCGCTCTTCTCGCAGGCGCGCCTGGCGAGCTTCAGCAGCGCGAGCCGCAGAAGCCCGATCGCAGGCTTCAGCCCTTTGTAGAACCGGTCCTCGGACACACCGGGGAGGACAGGAGGTGGGAGGGGGGGGGCAGGAAGGACATGGGGGGAGGAGAGGCGGAGGAGGAGGGAACAGGAAGGAAAGGGGGAGGGGGAGGAGGAAAAGAACAGTGGGGGGAGGGGACAGGGGGAGGGGGAGCAGGAAGAAGAAGTATAAGCATTGATGACTCGCCAATCCTTGCTCCTCGCGCCTCGCCCCTCACTCATCACGCCTCTTCCTCCTCCGCCTCCTCATCCTCATCATCGCTTCCCAACGTTTCCCCCTCCTCCGCTTGCTGTGCCCCCTCCTATCACCATCCTTTTCGTTTCCTCTTGATCTTCCATTGTCCTTATCCCCCACCACCTCGTTACTCCACCTTCTCGTTCTCCGCCCCATCCTTCTCCTCGGCCGTCCCGCGGCAACGGCGAGATCTCATGCTGATCTCAAGACATTCCTCCACTCGATGATATATTCCTTGCTGCGATTATTGGCCTCGTCAAGGAAGCTCGTTTCTGCGCTTGCCCGCGCGTTAGAGACTGGCCGCGCCTTGTTGGTGAACTGTTGCAGTATAACCCACGTCGTAGCATGGCGGATCTGGAATGCCATTGAAGTATTTGCAAATAATCACGTTCTCGTGATGTCCATGCATTCCAAAGCTCTGGGAAATCGTTGATCAGGCCTTTGAGTCTCTCGAATACTTTAATATAGGAATTGAAGAATATCCATTCCGCGGCCGAAGAAACTGCTTTGCCGTCCCAAGCCCTGCCGCAGGCTGAAGTTCAGGCTGAGTATATGCCAGAGTAACCGCTTCTGGCGTCGTCATTCTGGGCCTCTCAAGCGGCTTCTCAGGGGAGCGGGCCCAACGGGCCGGAGTGTCAGAAGGAAGATCCGACGAGGGTGTTACCACCGGCGGGGGGGTTGGGAATGGCGTCGGCCGTTGATTGCATAGAACGCATGGATGTTCATCCATGAAACCATCGCATTGTCACAGAGGGCCTGCGTCTGCAGCGCATTGAGTCCATGATGACGATGGCATTGCGTGGGTTGCTCCAGGCACATACGAAGAGCGCGGCGCAATTCGATGGCCTGCGCGTGCCCTTGATAGTCCGTGACAGGCTTAATCAAGGGATGTTGATGACGGATAATAAATAGTTGACTCGCCAAGGACATAGGAACTGCACTAAGGTTGCGCACCGTAGCACCATGCACGAACTGCAACGTCAACTGAGCAAAATTGTGCTGGTTCTTGTAGGCGTGCCAGGCGTTCACATGGGGACGGTCCTGTGTTTCAATCCACTGTTCGACGGGTAGTACTACAATACCTCTGGCAATGAACATGGCGATGATCTCGTCGGTGATGATGTTGAATGTCTCGCCGAGGCCCCAATGCGTAGCCTTCCCAGGTCCCACTGCAGTGGGGCAGCGGAAGAAATTCATCACATCAATGCAGTGTGATACGACCACTTTGACATGCCGAGGCAAGAGGGCAACCACCCCATGACGCGCGGATAGAAACTGATCAGTGTAGTCGGCGGGTAGACCTCCCCGAGCACAAGGGGATGGAGGTCCATGCTTTTGCCTTCCCAGGCAACGTCGTTGGCACGTTACCAGAGAAAAGCACTGAGACCTCGTTGGCAGTGCTTTTGTGTGACGCATGCCGGGAAGCTGTTTGCCCAATAGGTCCAGATGATTTCGTTCCTGTCACGATAACGAGCGTAGCTACCAGCCATGAGATTCGATCTGGCCTGGCGGATACAATCGATGATCTCTTTCTGTTCTTTGTTGACAGGGCCCCGGAAGTCGTGGCGATGTGGAACTTAACGAGCATATCCCCATGGTGCCTTTGTCGCGCGGCGGTAAGACCAAAAATGCAGGTGTCGCCACCTGCCTCAGGTAACAAAGGCAAGTTGCAACCACTGGGGCAGTCGTGCGTTAGCCAGAAGTTTTTGTAGCCAGTCTCCTGCATGGCCCACAACATGATATTACCTAGCATATAAATACTGAAATCCTCGAGTGTCGCATCGTGCTGATATGGAATTCACGCATCCAAAGGCAAAGGAGAGAAACGAACGCAGGGTTGGATACGTCCACGATCTGCTTTCTCAGTCGCAGACCGTTCAAGTCGCCAATGTCTTGACAGGGTGCTTTCATCTCGTTGCTCTTGCTTCTTGATCTGCGCGATGCGGCCGGCGTCGCTGGTGTCGCTCGCTGCGTCAGGCCCGAGAGCACGAATGGCAGACAATGCACAGCCCTCTTGCAAGATGGGAGCCCAACCGTGATCGCTGAACGTCATCCTGAAGTAACGGGTAACGACGAGATGCGAACGCCGACCATCGCGGTGAAGGTGCGTTCGGGTCATCCTTGAGGTGCCGACACTCGCGGCGAAAATGTCGTCGCATCCGAAACTGCCAGCGTCATTGCCTGGAGGCACGTCACTGGTGGGTGGCAGGTTGGGCACCCATGGGCTCCAACTCGGATAAGCTTTGCGCAAAGTCCTCGTCGGAAGAAGCGCACCGTCAGCTGCGGGCGGCACCGCAACGCTGGCAGGGACTCGAGGCCGCCGAATCCTCCGCGCGTGGCCACTCATGACGATGTCTTCATCTCATACTTCCGGGCGTCCGCCAATTTATGGAAGATGCTGCAGCATGTCTTCTGCAGTGCCTCGGCCATGTTTCCGATGTGGCTGGCCATGTCGGACGCACGCGGTGCGGTGGGTGGTTTCGAGGGTGATTTAACGCGGGTCTCTCAAGGGAGATCAGAGAACTTGACCGGCATGATGCCATTGTGTTGTAAGAGTGGCCGCGTGGGATTATCGGCGTAGCATGCCTCATTGCGTGCCGCTGTTTTCCCAAATGTTTGCCCAACGAAGACGTTGCCAAATTTATCCCATGGCATACGAAAGATCTTCCACATACTGCTGCCCGCGTTATTGCATGCCGCCGTCGGAGGACACTTGATACCTTCAGGACCGAGCACAGAAGTGTTGTGAAATAGGAACTCGGGATGCTGCTGAAGGGCGTTCGCGATGGCGGAGTCCTTCAAAAACAAACCTGCAAAATATATCAACGCAAACATGAAGGCGAGATACGGCGCGGCAGCGGGCGGAGAAGGGGTCGGAACGCGACGGCCATCCATAAGCTCAGCAGCCTCATGCACTGCATGATCAGTGGTGGCGATGAAACCCTGTTTGCTCGTGCGGAGCGCGCGCTTTCCACTGCCATCGAGGATGCTCTCGAAGTAGAGGAGGAAATTCATAGCAGAATCCTCCGGAGAGTGAGGGCGCGCCGCTTGTGGAAGGAACGCTGGTCCCACGCGGATGTTGCCATCGGCGCCAACACTGATGTTACCTCCAATCTGCATACCGTGCAGCTCATCTTGGGGGATGGCGACGATGGTCCGAGGTCGGCTGGCTTTGCTCCTATCGACTGAGGGGGGGTCAAAGAGCGCGCGCGCTTGAGATTCTGAACGGCTACGAGCACAGGCGCTCCTGGCAACAGACACACGCGCGCGAATGGGACTCGGGGAGGGCTGCACGAAGGCCAATAGAAACGAAACTGGCGGTCTTGGCGCCCCCCGACGCCCTCTTGCTCTCCGTGTTAATAACGAAGAGAATGAGCGATTGCCCCAATAACTCCTGCCAGAGATGAACCTTTTTAGGCTCGAAGTGTTTCGGCGACGCGTCAGCAACCTGTTCTTTCGTTCCTACGTATTTGAGTTGCGTTTGTTCCTGCTGACATGTTTCTGTCATCCAGCCCCAGTTAATGCGAAGAGTGCGATGAAGATGACGAGGGGCGGGCGCACGCCCTTATTGTCTTCCGTAATAACTGCCTGGTTGTCCTCGGCCACAATGAGATGCACCATCGGAAGTGGTGCTGGCGTGGATGGAAGGCGCGAGGCATGCAGCGCGATGTCCTCGTGCATGATGTTGGATCATGGCGTTGGCGATGGTGGCGTAACTCGCGTCGATGTCTGGAGCCGGGAGAAGAACCGCGCGTTGGCGGCGCTTTCCGTGGAGGCGTCTTGTGCCGCTTCTTCTTGGGAGCCATGGACACGCCCGTGCTCCCCCCTTCGCGTGGGTCGTGGACCGCAGCTTCCCAAAAGGATAGCAAAGGTAGACCTTCAGTGCGCGAAGCCGCGTCGAGAGCCGCGATCTCGGACTCTGTGGACGAGTGCGATACGACGGCTTGCTTCTTGCACGCAGCATCGAGCGGGAAGAACGCGTCGGGGCCCACCAGCGCGACGGAGACGCCAGTGGTCGACTTTGAGCTGTTGACGCAACCCGCGAAGGAGGCGTCGGTGAAGAGCACGATGGAAATTGCATCCGATCTGTCACCACTCACTTCATGAAGACAGCGTGTGCATGTAGACTTCGAATAACAGACCAGCCGATGTAAACGCTTATCGCATGCGTAGTTCCACGCGGTGGTCTCTCGTGCCAACATGCAGACTGGGCGCGCGAGATCAAGCCTGCAGCAGCGGGCCAGGTGCAACATTTATCAGGACATTCGCTGCGTCAGACCGAGTATGCCTTCATCAATGTTGTCCCACTCTGAGAAGGACGTATCCTCGATGCCAGGGACGTCGGCATGTGGGAAATCGTCGCATGCGATGCGGATAAAGTCGTTCGTGTTTTTTTTCAACCGACAAACAAGATCTGGACGTGGGATTTACAACCGACGCGGCAGATCGAGGCGGGGGCGAGCGTGGCTCAGGCGAGGACGACCTCTTTCCCCTCGAGCCAGGCATGCCAGGTAACTTGGACACGCGCTCCAAGTACCGAGTAATGAATTTGTCAGTAAAGCCAAGCATGTCTTGGCGAATCCCACGAACGCTTGATGCAGATGTGTGTTGGTTGGTGTCGTGCTCCGGTAGCATGGGTCGGATCATAACCATTCGTTTGTCGAAGGCGCTTTGTGGCACTTTCCATGGGTCCTGACCACAGCCCAAATAATGATCGCATGGGGTAAATGGTCGATCTCAATGCCACTGTGTCGTATCAATTCCAATTATA